ATAGCAGAAGGGTTATCATTCTTGGGGATCATAGGCAAAAGAGTTTCATTAAGGATCCTAATTCTTCTATGGTTCCAAAAAAAAAAAGAATGAACCTAGTAAAATTTGACCCATTAACTTTCCAGCATTTCTTGTAAAAAATGGCATGGAAGCCATCCTTCCCAGGTGCCTTCGGGCCATTCATCTCCATAACAATGGCTTTGATATCCTAAGAGGAAGGAGGTACGACCATCCTATTCATGAGAGTATCATCCAGAAGAGGAAAATTAGCAGGTAGATCATGCAAAGGGTTTGAGATATCCTAAGTATAAAAGTTAAGGAAAAACTCCCTGGCCATAGTTTGCAGAGATTCCTCATCAACGATCCAGTTCCCTTGGTCATCTTTACGGGTAAGGATTTTGTTTCTTCAAAGCATGCTGAGAGTGTTGTTGTGGAGGAACAAGGTGTTTTGGTCACCATGAATCACCCAATCAGCCCTTGACTTCTGGATCCAAAGCATCTCTTCTTCCCAAAGTGTGTGCTCCAGAGAAATCCTTACCTCCTGCTCCTTTTCAAGATAAATCATAGATGGTATTCTTTCATTGAGGATTTCCAATGATTTCAGATCCTTCAGGAGTTCTTTCTTCCTTCTGAAGATATTTCCATACACCTCTTTGTTCCATTTTTGGAGAGCTTCAGTGATACTCTACAAAGACGAGGGAAAATCAATGCCACTTTTCCAAGAAGAAGCAAAGAAAGGGAAGAAATTCTCGTGAGCAAGCCAAAAAGCTAAGAAATGGAAATGACTCACCAAATTCCTCTTATGAGTTTGTCCAATAGTGTACGTGAGGATAGGCCTATGATCATATTTCAGCTTCGGTAGGTGTAAGGTGATTGACAGAGGGAACTGCTGCTGCCACTCCAAGTTACAGAGACTTCGATCCAACCTCTCCTTTATCCTTGAACCTTTAGTGAACCATGTGAACTTCGGCCCTGAGTAACCCATATCGATAAGCCCACAGTCTTTAATATATCTGTTGAAAGGTCTAGCTTTAGCAAAGTTAAACCTAGCTCCTCCTTGCTTTTCCCATGATATGGAAATGGAGTAAAGTCCCCTGTGATTAGCCAAGGTAGTTGGGTACTTATCTCCATTCTTCTCATAGCATTCCATAATTCCACCTCTCATGCTCATTAGGACTGGCATACACCGCCGTCAGTTGGAATCTTTCATTGTTAGCCAGGAGGAACTTGAGATTAAGGAACTGCCTATGTCTATCCACATCCTCCATCTTCATCATGCTATCATTCCAGAGGACCCAAATTCCTCCACTCAAGCCAGAGGCATCCGAAACTTCCCAGGTATCAAACCCCATTTTCTTAATGGCATAAATGACATCCACCCCACTAATTCTAGGTTCTAAAATACAGACAATGTTTGGTTTATGGTTCTGAGCATACAACTTAAATGTAGATAAGAACTAAATAATGCTAGAAATAATAATCTAAACTTAGTAACTCCATAGGTTTGTGGTTCTCAGCATACAACTAAATAATAATCTAAACATATCAACTCTATAGGTTTATAGTTCTCACATACAACTAAATAATAATCTAAACATATCAACTCTATAGATTTCACACAGAGAAATCCTCATCTTAATGCTAGAAATAATAAATCATTTAACTAAAACAAAAACAAAAAATAAATTGGGTCCATCCTGCTCGTCATTCCATCCTTAATTACAAAGGACTACAAAGAATATAATGACAACCCTAAATAAAAAAAGAGGGATATAGTAATCCATGCTCTTGGTTGGTCCATCATTCATTAGATAAAAACATGAAATTAGTATATATTGTAGTTAGACGAAAAAAAGAACTAAAGTAGAAGAATTATTCATTTTATTTTTAATCAATCCACTACAATTGTATCATAAGGAAAGGTTTTCATGATGGTAAGTGGCCAAGTGCCAATTTTTGGGTGTAACGTGTAATTCTTTCTTTTTTTATGAATAAGCTTTGTTTTATTCATCAAGAAAGGGAGGTTGGGTAACCCCCTTAACTGGAACCCTATTAACTAGAGAGAATTACAAGTAGTTAACTTCTATTATATAAGTGAAAACACAAACCAGGGACAAATGAAAACAAACCAACAACGACTACCACTACCCCAGCTACAGTATACTACTAACATCCTCTTCAGATATAGCTAGAGCAACTTGGGGAAAACCACTTTTTAACAAAATCATCATACCCTGCATTTTCATAAGGAGTTGACCTTCATACATTAATTCCCCTGCCATAACTCGCATTCATCTCTCCCTCAATGATTAGGCAAGCCGTGTTCCAGCTTCTGGGGTCTTTAAAACCCAGTCCTCCCTCCTTCTTAGGTCTTGCTACCACCTTCCATAGTAATTTGGCCTTTTTCCATCCTCCTCTGAGTTCCATAGGAAACCAGAACATGCTTTTTCAATCTGTTTTAGTACTTTGACTGGGAGTTGAATAATTCTCATCCAATACTGAGTAATACTGGAAATTACAGCAATTACAAGTTGTAATTTGCCAGCATAGGATAGAGATTTTACCTTCCATCCCCTAATCCTTGCAGTGATCTTGTCAACCAAAGCAGCATAGTCAGCAGAATTCAACTTCCCAACTATAAGTGGAATCCCCAGATAACGGACAGGAAGATGACCAATTACAAAACCAGTTCTAGATGATATGAGGGCTTGAACACTGGAATCCACTCCACCACAAGAGACCTCACTCTTTGCAGGATTGCACTTCAACCCAGAAAACATCATAGAAAGTATCCAGAATTGATTTAGTTATCCCCACAGCTTCAGGAGTCCCCTTTGTGAAGATCAGTAGATCATCAACAAAACATAGGTGTGAAAGTCTTATTCTATGTGTTGTGGATGACGTGGGAGGGTTTTTACAACATAGGCTCTATTAAGCATTGACAGAACCTCCATAGCTATGGTAAAAAGATAGGGGGATAGAGGGTCCCCTTGTCTCAACCCTTTCTTAGCTGAAAAATATCCACATATACCACCATTGAAACACACACTAAGTTTCGTGTTCTGGAGACATACTCTAATCCAATCAACGAACTGAGTTGGGAATTTCATAGCTATCATGACAATTTCTAGATAAGTCCAGTCAACACTATCAAATGCCTTCATCACATCCACCTTGAGAGCACATCTAGGGGATATAGACTTTCTGTTGTATAGCCTAACCATCTCATGAGCCAACATAACATTATCACTTATTAATCTGCCCTTTATGAAAGCAGATTGATTCTGACTTATGACTAGGGGTAGGACTTCCTTCAATCTATTAGCAAGAATCTTGGCTACACATTTATATAAAATGTTGCAACAAGATATAGGCCGAAATTGTTTCATACAGTCAACATTTAGCACCTTAGGAATGAGTGCCAAGTAAGTGGAATTTACCTCTGAAAGCAGTTTTCCTGATCTGAAAAAATCCAGTACAGCAGCAGTGATTTCATCTCCCAGGATCTCCCAATTGTGCTTATAGAAACCAGCTGTGAAGCCATCCGGACCATGAGACTTCTCACCTTTCATGGAGAACATTGCTATCTTGACTTCTTCTCTAGTAACTGGGCTACAGAGAGGCTTAGCTTGCTCAGAGGTGAGTGTATGAACTAACAACTATGAAATCAGACCACTACCCACCCTTTGAACATCATAATTTTTTGTTCCTATCAAATTTTGGTAGAACCTTACTGCCTCCTCACTCATATCTTTCAATTCAGTCAGAACTGCACCCTCTTCTGAGACCACCTTCTTAATAGTTGAACGAGCCTGCCGAGCTTTCACAGAGTTGTGGAAGAAAGAAGTATTTAAGTCTCCCGTCTTAACCCATAGGATCCTAGACTTTTGCGTGTAAATAGCCTCCTCTTCCTTAAGAAGAGCATAGAGCAAAATCTGATAAGAATTCACTTTCTGAAAAGACCTCAGGGGAAGGATGCAAGAGAGCTTCCAAATGCAGCACTTCAATTTCTTTCTTTGCAAGCCTCACTCTGTCCGAAATCTCTAAGTAGGAGGACCTATTCAACTTCCTCAACTACCTTTTTACCTCCCTCAGTTTCTGGTACACTATAAACATAGGAGTACCACAAATATTTTGCTCCAAGCATCCTTGATTATCTGCTTATACTGAGGGTGAGATTCCCATCTGCTGAAATACTTGAATGGTTTAGGCAGGGAGGTAATATGTTTTATCCAAACCTTTTTCAGATTCTTTTATATTATCCAAACCTATCGAAATACTATAAATTAGCCAAATCTTTCGTAATGTATCAAAATATTAGTCATTTTTACGTTATCGTTAATAATTTTGTAACTCTTTTCTTAGTTAAAATACTAAAATTTTAGAATGTTGACCTTCATGAGTCTCTTCCAAGTCAATACCATGTTGCCAAGTCAATATTACTAACAAAATTGCTAATTGAGAGTTAACATTTGGCTAATTTTTAGCATTTCGATAGGTTTGGATAATATAAAAGAATCTGAAAAAAATTTGAATATAAAATAGACATTACCCTTAATTTTTCATACAATTTTTAACTAAGAATTACAAAATAACAAGCAGAATACAAAGATGATGGGACGCTATTCATGGATTCCATCTGTTTGGGTAGTGGCGTTTTGGTCCAATGATCCACAGATTTCAAGTTGGATTAAAAGAATCTAACCACTAACACATATAGGCCACGTGGACCAATTACAAGATGCGTTACAGGTATCGCGTTTTTTTATAGCGACAACATAGTATTGGCCTTTCTTCTTATGATATTCCCCCAGAGGGACACATTTATTTATTTTAAGTGTCGACGCCGGTCTGAGTTGGTGGGGAGTAGCTTTCATTGGTATAGTAAAAGCATAACTCAAAATAAATTATTATATGATTTCACGAAAACATGTTTTAAATGGTTCGTCTTTACGACCTTCCCAAACTTTCTCTTTCATCGTTGAAAAAATTAATAAATCGTTAGATACAGAGAATGCTCCATGATTATGATCTTAGACGTGACATTAGATTACTTGCTTGTAGCCGAATCATACTCCATAGTCAGTAAGAAAGGTGCCGAGATGATTTGTATATATAATAGTAGCAGATCAACTTCCAAGGCTTTGGAGTTGGATTCGATGTACAAAAATGTATATACGTAGAAGTAAAAAAAAAAAAAAAAAGGTAGATAGATCAACAGCCAATTAGAACATCTAATCAATCCAAAAGCTCTAATTAATCATCAGGATTAATCGAGTAATTAAGGGAAACCCTACAAGCTAAGCTCCAGCTGTTTAGCCGACTGGCTCATCTGCCGGTCAAACCATGGGTTGTTGTTGTTGTTGTTTCCATGGTCAGCAGGCTTGGGTGACTCGAGTTGATGATACGGCCCTCTCGATGTAACCCTGAGATTATTAACAAGGATGGATGGTTAATATAACAGAATTAAGCGGCCAGTACTTATCGTTAATTACAAGAAGATTATTTACAAAGAGGTTAGTTAATTCATGATTACCTGTCCTTTCTCTTCTCCAAGAAGCGGTGAAGAGAAGCTCTCCTGGCAATCGGCAGGTCCGACCCTATCGGCCGAGGCTGCGGCGGCCGGAAGTGGGAAATCGGTTGCTCTATTTGCCCGTCGTTCGGTGACGAAGACGAGGAAGTCACCGCCGCGGCGGCGTTATTGTTAATCTGCTCATCCCGTGAATTGCTGTTGTTGTTGTTGTTAGTAATTATCCCCTGCTGCTCGGAAACCAAGCCCATAATCTCCTTGGCCTTCTCCGCGGGGAAATCGTTGAACACAATCACCTTCCCGCCGTAGAAAATCGTCATCTGAGCACCTCCTCCTCCGGCCGCCGCCGTAGATCCATATCCGGCGAACCGGGGCAACGCCGGCGAAGGCTTCCCGTCGCTTCTCTCTGCCTCCCGATTGGCGGAGGAGCCTCCGATGCCAGGCAGAAGGTCCAGCGTCGTGGTCGGCGCAGCAGCAACTGCACAAATTGAAAAGGAAAAATTAACAACAAACAAACCACGAATTTTTCTTCTTCTTCCAGATCTGAATTCATTTCCACTTGATTGATTACTTATTAAGATAGATTTAATTACCTGATGATTTGTTGTGATTAACAGGAGGCTGATGATGATCGAGCTTAGCGGCGAGGCCGATATCCCCCAGGTTGGCCTTCCCGGCCTTCAAGTACTGGCTGAGGAGATTGCAGGTCTGTGCAAAAGTGGACTTCTCCGACGCCGGCGGCGGAGACATCAGCAATTTCTTCACCATTGTTCCTTCCTTCCTTCCTTCCTTCCTTCCTTGTTCGATTGCTATGGAGATGGATTTTTTTTCTTTGTTCTCTTTGTAGATGGATGGGAATTTGGATGGAGGAAGGAAGAGGAAAGGGGGATTTTTATATATGTAAAGCAAGGGCAGAGAGAGAGCTAGTAGGTTGAAGGGAGGAGGTGAGAGGCACGTTCTTTGAACTGCGGATTGGGATTTAATTAGGCCCACGAGTTTTTTTTTGTTTGTTTCGTTTCGATTTAACTTTCTGTTCAAAAAAACATGCATGTTGTGTGGGTGTGGGCCCGCCACCTCCTTCTTGATTTGCGGATGGATGGGATGGGATGCTGTTGTTTTTCCCACACGTTTTTTTGTTGCGAATATTGAAGTTGGCGTGGAGAGGAGGGTGAAGAAAGAAAGGTTTAGATTTAGTAGATGAGAAGAGTCGTGTTTGGAGGGGGGCTGAAGAGGTCACGCTATTTTTGTGCTCGTCACAAAGTAGTCCGCGAGCTTTACAAGTTATTACAAAACAGTCACCAAACTTCTTTTCTATTGAAATACAAAAAAAAAAAAAAATAAAAAATTTGTTATGTAACTTCTTCGTTTAAAAAGGCTGATAATTATTCAGGAAGCTATTTGCAGCTACGTTTGCAAAGTATTCAAATCGCACCCCTGGTGATCAGTGGCTTGCTGAACTCCAGTGGGCGTCTCAACACTTCTAAAAGAAGACTGTTGTTGCTCAGGTGGGTAAAGTAATTTGGCAAAGTTTGATTGCTACTACCTGGAGGGTGAGCTGCAGGGTAAAATTTGGAGGAAAGGTGTTTGACATGGATGAGCTGATTCGTATGGTTAAAGGTGCCTTGAGGCTGTTTCTGGACCCTTTGCTTCTTGGCCAGTTCTTCTAGGTTTTTTTGACTGTGTTTTTTTGTTAGCTTGTCAGCTTTATATGTGAAATACTTGTCTATTGGTACTTGGCTCAGTTGGCAGAGCTTGTTGCAAGCAAGTTGTTTGTCATATTTTTTTATGAAATGAAAGCCCCAACCATTCATATAAAAAAAATTATGATCGGTTAAATGAAAACGCAACGGCCATGTCTTCTTCGACGCATTACACCTCAACCTTGTGTTACCGTCGCCTTATGTAGTGCAACACTTTTCTTGTGTAAATCTCCCAAAAATATTTCAAAATTTATCACATTATCGAGAACATACATCCATATTATCTTTGCGAATAGTGTAATCAACAGCTTGCCTTCCCACCATACTACATCGCACTTGGACCTTAGGGAGGTCATGGGCACCACCTCAAAACCAAAACATAAATGGAAAAGTATATATATATACTTCAGTGCACTCACTTCTTTGGTGCATTCAATGCACTCACTTCATAACCGTCATTTTAAACATGCGATTTATGTCAAAATGATGGTAATCATCACTTATGATGTGATGAACAATAACACACATGAATTTGCACAAAAAACCATTAAAGATTAACTTTAATTTGAAGGATTTAGAGTTTAGAGATTTAGGGTTAGAGTTAGGGTTTACAATTTTGGGTTTAAGGATAGAATTCAAAATTGGAGATCTAGGGCTTAGGGTAATCCGCTAATAACCGCTAATTAATTATTAGCATATATGTGTTATATCATCATATTACACTAATTCTACAAATTAAAATTCAAAATCCAACACCTTAATACTAGTATTCACCATATATAAAACAATTGACCATGCACCCTTCTCTGTAACGAGCCACTCGATGCCATCAAGGGCCGGGGGGAGAAAGGTTTCAGGCAGGCACATGCATACCAAGACCAAGTTGCCAAACCCCTGGATATTATATGAGCACATTTGACCAATAATGCTGCAGTATTATTTTTTACTAATATATATCGAGCATTGCGACGACTGACTGCAAATTGAAAACTCATTAAATTATAAAACAGAAACATGCATGTAATGTAATCTCAGGGGAAATAATTAAGTCAAGAGAAACGACAGTGAAGCGGTTCTAGGAACCTGCCTTGAATTCAGCTTCCTATTGTTGATCTTTCCAGATAAACAAAACCAGGTTTATGAAAACGTTTCTAACTCCTATTTTTATTGGGCGAGATATATGTTAGAAATAATAATTCATATAATAATAATAATAATAATAATAATAATAATAATAGTGTTGTGTCATGACTCATGTGGCATATAGCCGTAGGTACAGTGTGTGTAGTTGTCGTAGATTTCTCCTCCTTTGTTGTTTGGTTTCACTAGTTTGTATTACTAATTTAAGTGCCTAAAGGAAACCCCCGTTGACTTACAAGTAATTTTATGTATTTAAAATGGTGAAACAAATTAAACGTGCACTCAAATTTTAAAGGAGAAAAACTAACACTAGTAATAATAGTTACCAAAGGTTGACTTCTTAATGCATGTTTGTTTTTTTACTTAATTCCAAAATTTATCAATTTCAAGTATTTTAACATTATTGTCTTGGAATATCTTTCCTGGATTCCAAGCAACAACGATGTTTTTTTTTTTTTGTGCCAACAACGATGTTATTCATTGCAATTTCATCGATTTATTCAAGGGTTTTCATTTTTCAACTAGACGAAAATAATATCTTTAAAAAATGGCATATCATTTGAATTGCAATGCTACAATTTCATCTTAAATATTGATAAATCACGCTGGCTAGACGATTTTGTTTGTCATGTAAGCACATAACGAATTTCATTAACAGAATTGGACGGAGACTAATGAAGAGTGACCAAACGTGAACCGTTTTATCAATTCGAATGACCAACATTTAAATTAGATATTTTTAATTAGTAATTAAGCATGACACTTTGTACTAAACCTAATGACCAAATGAAATATATCCTTAGAAAAAAATATGGTTTGCCAATAGTATTGCCTTCCTGCGAGTATATAATTATATATATGTATATATATGATGTTATTTAAGTGGGATGTCCTTAGGCGGAACTTTCAGCTAATTGAGGTAGGAAATGGTAAAAGAAAAAAAAAGAAGAGGAAAGGAGAAATGGCGGGAAGGAAGTAACGGCCGTTAGTTAGGTAAGTGGAAGTGTCAAAGAAGACGGTCTTCTAAGATTTTGCCGACAAGCAACGAGGGAATGAGAAGGCGCGTTGGTCCCACTTCCCCAATGGATGGAGAAGGACAAAGATCCTTTGACATTTCCAAAGAGTCCCTCAACTTTTTCTTTTTTCCCTTTTCTTCTTAAGAGCCCGTGAACGACACAACAAGTGACTAAGTGAGGAGACGCTTGTGGTGGGGAAGGAAGTGCTAGAGGATCACGATTGAATATGAATATCTAGTAATTTTGATCTATTTCAAATAAACCTTAACTATAATTAGTCATACATCTATGGTTTCAGACATAATTTGTGTCCTTTTTTTACTTCAAGTTCTCATAATTTGTAATAATAGATGTCCAAACTTAGGGTATGCCTACTATGACATGCATGTCACCGTGATATGGACTTTTCGGTTGACCTAATCCTGAAGGCGGTCGGCCGAATTGACTAATTTGAGCAGCACGAGAAAGCATTGCGGTCGACCTTAACGACCACCTGGTCGAACGCACTTAGTTTAAGTTGTTATTTTTGGTCGACCAGAATAAAACCTCGGTCGGCCATTTCGTTGGCGTTAGAAACAACATGGTCGACCGTAAAGGTATATAGGTCGACCACTTGGTGGCAGTCATTAACAAAAGGGTCGACCAGATAAGGAAAGAGGTCGACCAGATAGAAGATAAGTGTTCTATCAATGTGTCCAATCATTTGACGTAAAATGAAGATCAAGTGTTGGTTTCGAGGTCCACCTAATCCGGTACGAGGTCGACCGAATACAAGAAAGTCAACCTATGCCCGTGTCTTTTTTGCTTATGTATGTCGATTTGTGTGGTTCTTTTGCTCGTATAAATTATGTTTCAAACCATCATAAATAGTCATAAATAATGATAACAAGGACTCATCAATTCATAGCATAACAACTAAACAAACTAACAAGAAATACAATAAAACAGAAATCATAATTGTTCACACATAAAAAAAAAACTAAAATAACAATCAACAATCGTTTTGACCACTTAACAATAAAAACACACAATCTAAAATCTTCGAGTTCCTACTCATGTCCCCTCTCTCCCTCATCCACATTTTCTTCGTATTTATAGAGATTTAGGACGTGAATGGGTCGACCCAATTTGTTTTCTTGTCCAATTGTGGAATCTTTCTACTGTTGGAATCCTTATCCAATACGGATACGGTGTGCATGCGGTCGACCTCTTACTAATGAGGTCGACCTGATAGGTGCACAAGGGTCTGCCTATGAGGTATTTGGGTCGACCTTTCATTCTGTTATACCACCAAAGAGGTCGACCATTTTATGTAGACGGTCGACCGCTTCTCTGAACCTCACATAACTGAATTTGTCAATTCGGTCGACCGCCTTGAGGATTAGGTCGACCGAAAAGTCCATGTCACGGTGACATGCATGTCACCGTAGCAAAATCCCCAAACTTAATAATAATAATTGGCCGTACATTTATGGTTTCAGTAATTTTACTATCAATAATCGAAAGACCACCCGGATTAATGCATGTTCTATTGGTAAAAATTGTGAAAAAGAGGAGGAAATTAGGCAGTCACATGAAAAATAACGTTGATAAGACGGAAGGAAAATATGTACTATATATCGGGAGAAATAAATAGTAACAAAGAAACACGAGCGAGCTAATAGCAAATGACTTTATTATGATTACTTGTCCAGAAATTGAGTGCTTTATCTTATTTCGTAAGGAATATATTAGGAATTCACGTGGTTCAACTTTTCTTCACATCTTTGTATACAGTACTCTTTGGTGCACGCATTTGCCTCTCTTTTCCTTTGGAAAAAAAAAATGAAACAAAATATATGGCGGGAATTAATATTCAGTCGGTACCAAACCAAGGCAGTGAGGGACCGTTTAGATGTTTAGAGTCTAATTTTATAATTTTTAAAAGGGTTATAGGTATAATATGCCCCTTTACTATGCAGTTTTATCAAACATGCCCCTTTACTATTTTTTACATCAAACATGCTTCTATACTTTGTAAAAATGATCAAACATGCCCTTATGTTAAAATTTGCATCCAAAAACCATCAACCATGGTCGAACTTTGATTTGTGCGATACCTATGTCTAAAATATTTCTATAAATTTCA